TTCCTGCTGCCTTCTGCATGGAATACAGGACCCAGGGTTTCCTCATGCAGTGGGCACTAGTGGAAGCTGTGTAATGGGAGAGCTATGTAGGTGAATTAGGAAAATACCCAGTTTGTACAGCTGTGAGAATTACACGCACACTTCTGTGGATACATTGATAGAGGTGACTTTTGCAAATTTGGCTCTCATTTTGGCTTGTATATAGATTTAAAAATACATTTGCATTTAGATTATTTTTCTGCATCTTTATTCTTTATCTATATTCAAGGTAAGTGTACTTCTGCCTAGGAGTCCTGCAGACTACAAAAGAGCTGTCACAGTTGAAATAGTCTATTATTCAGTCAAAAGGAGGCAGTGTTTTAAAGGGGAAAAAAAAAATCTAAGTGTTAGTATTGAATGAATAAAAATGCAAGAAAACAATATTAATTTTGCTTAGTATTTTTCACCTTTATGCTTTATTTGAAACAGTTGTATTAAATAGCCAGTGCTCAGAATTTCATATCCATTTAAAACTTGTAATGGTATTTAAAACTTATTTAAGGCTACATACATCCCTTATAATGTGAATTAATGATAATTCATCCCAGTTGAATAGCAGTCCTTGTTTTCTGCTAGTGCAGAACTTATCTATACCAGAAAGTTGCATTGATTTAATTTAAAATATTTTTAAAACTCATTTAGTTAATCTGGTCATGTACATAGATATTTTATACGTGTAACATATAAACACACGATGTTGTTTCAAACTAAAATTGCCTGTGGTAACTTATGGAAAAATGAAAATTATTGGAAGCTTAACATAGAATTTTCCTAATACTGTTAATCTTTTAAAGCAAGTTTTGCATAATTGGTGAAAAATATTTTTACACAAGGTAAAGAAGTATAGAATTTGGAAGGGAAAAAGAAGCCTCATATTATTTATAACACAAAATATAAACTAATATAACCATTATATGAATATTATTTCCCTCTATTTATAGAGTAAAAACACAATAACTCTCAAGAACCCAGTGTGAATTTTATAAATTATCAAGTGAAAAGTGGAAATAAAAAATCCCAAAGATCACGCACTGTATTTTAATTTTATCCATCGTGGCTTAATGTTTTTGATACTTTAGGGTATGCTGTTGTACGTTTGCAAGTTTTGTAAAAATAATGAAATCTTTTGAAATGGCTTTGCCAAATGTGTATTGTAAATAAGATGAGTGTTTATTTTTATGGGTGGTGTCTTCCCACTGTCTTTCTGAAGTTGTGATGTATGTCTATATCTTACTCAGGGGAAACTTTGCAGGAAAAACCTTCTCCAATACAGCTGAAGCCAGCCTTAGTAAGATCACCAGCTTCACGGAGAGGCCTGAATGGGACTAAACCTGTGCCCCCAATCCCTAGGGGGACAAGCCCATTGCCTGATAAAGCTGAGTTAAACACCACAGAACAGAAAAACGAAGAGACTGAGAGTATTTGGATGAGTGGAAATGATGAGAAACCTACAGTTGATCTCTCAGAATTAAGTGTCAGCGATAAGGAATTGGACCAGGAAGAGGTTGGAATTCAGTGTGTTTTTCATACTCTAAATCGATGCTGGAATCTGTTTTATTTAACAAAAATATAGCAGAGAGAGAATGTGCGAGTGTATCTTTGTGGCTGTGTCATAATGCAGAAGACTACATTAAAATAATGTGGTTCTGATAGAAACTAACTAAAGCAGTAAAAGTCAGTGTTGAATTTCATTCCATGTGTCCTTAACATGTCAGCGTTATGCTCAGTTAATCAGAGGGTTTCAGATCAGCCTGTTGATTTTTCTGTTGTTATAGTACCAGTGGAAGACATTTTTCACAGTCTCAACTCTGACTTCCCGTGCTTTTATCTGTCTTGAAACATCAGTGCTGCTTTGAGTGTAATACTTGCCTTTATTTTTTTTTTCAAAGAGCTAAAGTCAAGTGCTTGATTCTGTTTGGCTTCTAGTTCAAACTCTGTTTACCCTCAAAATTTGTTGAAAATAATTGTGAGAAGGAAGAATTTTTTAGGTTTATATCTTATATTGGACCAGCTATATAGTTAGGATAAAGTTAGACAAGCAAGACATTCTTCAAATGCAAGACATTCTTCATCAGGCCTCCCTTACATTTGAAAGCTTGTCTAACTTTATCCCAAAGGTATAATTGGTCCAATAAAAGATACTACCTTAAGAAACCATCATGGCATCATGGCGACAATGTCACTCTTACCCTATCTTGAAAATTATTATCGTTGTTACAGCCAATACACCCTTGCTGTCTTGACACATGTTCAGATCTCTACAGTGTAATGAAAAATCTGAGATAAGTCATTAACTGGAGGAATTATGGTGTCACCCATGGACCCATTATCATGTTAACCCCAGCCTAATACAACACTCGTGAAATAAGTTATTAGGCCTAACTGGCTATCCCTAGTGTGACTCTTTCGCTTTTAATGGATCTCCTGCAGGGATCGGTGGGGCCCAGGCTGTATGTAGAATAGTCATTGCTCTAAGTATGCCAATTAACAGAATGCATCTATAGGAAATAGTTTAAACTCTAACACCTCTAACATTTCCCTTGTCCCACACCCTCATGACCATGGTGTGGGATACCTGATGCTTTCATAGCACATTCATGTTAGAACTTCCCCCTAGTGTCTCCATCAGTACCGTGAGAAAGCAGATAAGCTGCAAGCCCTGCAGGAGGCAGGTAAGCTGCTTGAGAGGTGCAGTGATGTTCCACAGTGAGTCTATGCTTATAGAAGTGATCTGTCTTGCTCGTCTCTGCCTCTCAGACCCATGTATAAGCAAAGATTTCATCACTAAATAAATCACCATTTCAGGCACAGTCAACCTTTTGAAACGCTTGTTAGCTGTGCATACATGCAGAGACCTAAGAAAAACTTGCACAGGCACTTAGGATGTTTCATGGCAACTGCTTGGAAACAGCTTTGTAGTCCTCACTGATACAGATTCAGACTATTGCAGAAGTAGTGTATGTTGGAAGCACCAGCATGACAGATGCACTGTTTTTTCCAGTCCTCCCAACACTGTTCTGTGGTGTGCTTGCCTGCTGCTCTGTTAGCTCACAAAATTGGTTATCATGTTTCAACCTCACCCCCAAATTCCATGAATATCTGAGAGCAGTCATGGTAGTACTCAAGCAGTTTCTGCTCCAGTAAGAACTTTTTCTTCCTTCCTTTCCCCCATCCCAGAGTAAACGCATGGGGTACATGGCCACCGTCAGCTCTGTTAAGTAGCATCTCCTCCCACTGAAGTCTAGCTCTCCCTAGGGGATCAGAACTTTGCATTTAATGGAAAATTGTAATACATTTTCAATAAAATTAACAAAGCTCCAACTTCCATGAATAAACGATCATTTTTATCATCTTTATCTTCTGAAAACCATAGGTGCATGTATATGAAGAAAGATATCATTAAACTAGAACCTAAAAGTTAAAGTACCACGGCACTTAGTATAGAGATGCTGGACCTTGCACAGCAGTGAGAAATTTGCCCGTTTGCATTTCTTGCCTCCACGATCTAAAGAGAGAACAGGAAAGGGTAACTAATAAACACAAACAACATGGTGAGGTACCCCCGCAAGTAAATCTTAGCTCTCTACTTGTCTTCCTGTAATATCCATCCTACTGTCCCCGTCTAAAAGGTGGTGCTTTTGTTCGGAGGGAGGGAATTCTGATCCAGCTGGGTCTGGATGGGCAGCACTGGTGTTTGGTTGGAGGAAGCCTAGTGGAATTGGTGGCGTTCTGAACCAGAAGTGAGTTGGAGGGCTGATCATGGGGAAAAGGGGGAGGTAATGATTGAGGAGCGAGTAGAAGCATATTGGTGGCATGTGGAGGAGATTGCTTTGAGTTGGTTAAAGACAGTTGTGGGAGACTGGTGTTTGAGAGAAGATGTAAGAAATGGGGGAAAAACCGGAAAGGAATGTTATTTCTCCCACCCTTTGCAGCTAATTTATCCAAGGTTACCTTGCTGTCCTCCATCCCCAAACCCTTCCTTATGATACCACTTTTCAGGGACTGAGTTTTTCACACTGCAGAGAGGGGAGGAGAGCAGATGCAGTGCAGTGGGGCTCCAGTGCATCTGGTTTGGGCAACAGCTGCCACTGGTAGACGGGGCTTTTGAGATTCACCGTTACATTTCTCCAAAACATGAGTAGTTAAAGGCAGAGGTCTTTTCCACAACTTGCATGTTACTACAGTACGGCCATTTAGCTAGCCAACACTTATATTTACCACGTGCCTGGTAAAAAGAATCAAGAATTGGTAGATGTATTTTTGTGCCTTGCAAAATATGATGTGATGTTTATGAAGTATCTGAACTCTCTTGCTCTCAAACTGTGTTTCTCTGTATAAAAATAATCTTTGATATGAAGATGCTGAGGGGTCTTCACCATCAGAGACATCTAAGCAGCACTTTAGTCATACCGTGAAGAAACTAAGAATGGTAGAAACATGCTTGCATTCAACAACTTGATTTTTACCTGGTTTTCAATTCTGTTTAGATGCAGAGCTCTCTTCGGTCTCTACGCAATAGTGCGGCTAAGAAGAGGGCAAAGCTAAGTGGCAGCACTTCAGATCTGGAGAGCCCTGATTCTGCCCTTAAACTTGATATGTCTGTCGACTCCCCTTCGCGCTCTTCCTCTCCAAATGTGAGCTACAGTGAAAGTGGTGTTTACAGCCAGGAATCCCTGACCTCGCCTGTGTACATAACCCCTCAGGGAAA